AGCGAAGGAAAGAACTGAAAATTCTGATGATCAGAAAACTATCCTCTTACTCTGCAACTTACTTCAATTATGATTTTCATGTCCTTTGTGTCTTAACTTGGAATTACAAATGAGCATGCACTAATTTCAAATTTCAGGGGCAAACAGACTTTTATAGTAGAAAATTTAACCTTTTCAAGAAAATGTAACTTTCTTCAAGCATTTCTGGACTGTATAGAACATCTAAACACAGACATTTAATTACACGTATCCACTTTTTATTAGAAAATACCAATTCTCTAAAAACTTGCATTTTAACGTATTAAAGGGAGACCAACACATATCTTACTATAGTACAGTGTCTGTATTAGTCTGATTTTGAAGTAACTTCAATCAAAGCTTACTTTTTGTGCTAGAAAATGGCTATAGATACCATTCTCGCAAGCAGCTATTTTCAAGCACAAAAAGTATATTGACAAAATACTGACAACAGAATTATCAGCCTCTATGCCAGGCTGTTGCCCTTACTTAAAATCAAGAAATATGTTTGATGATAGAAAACATCCATTGCTAACATCCAACTTTTAACTCCATGGAAAAAATGTATTAATCTAATCTTTCTAATAATTTCCTTCTATGATTTCAAGACAAGAAAAGATACACAACATTCCAGTAATGCACACTGCAATGCACCATAACCAATAACCAATTCTGTTTACTTTGCTATTATGACAGTTTATCAATAGAGGAATAACATGTCTTCTTTGTATCTTTAATACCACGGAATTCATCAAGAGTTGCCACGTTCCCTTCCTAAATCAAAACAGTTTAAGTTCCCCCAAAAAATAAAATTACTAATGATAAAATTGTATTAAGCTTAATAAAACAAGATGTTATATCATTTGCAGTATTTCCGGAAGAATGTGCACAAGTCGGTGACACTTTTTTTTTTGGAGCATGCACAATTATAAAAGATATCTGGATATTTCTTGCAGACATTGACTATTTGTAAGTCAAGCTGTCCTCATCTAGGACTTACTTATCCAGAATATAATTCTGAAATTTGGAATAAAAGGAATGCTTTTAAATCACTCTTACCTTCATCTATTGAGGCTTCACTACTGTATCCATCATATTCTGCAGACAGGGGACTATATTTTTGTCTGGTTTCCCATACATAGTTTTTTTGCTGTCTGCCATCCACCACTGGCAGCCTGGAACTCTGGGTTCTAGACAAGGCCTCATGATATTTACCCAGTGCTTCATCTTCACTCTCAGATGATGAACCATGCTGGTCTTTACTCATATAAGAGTTGTCTGTTTGAATAAAATAAAGCAAATCGACTACAGCTCAAAACAGAATACAAGAAAATAACCATAAGAGGTTATCATTGAAGATATTTAAGCTATTTCAATGAAAATTTCTGTAATATTTTAAAAATATCACCTTGTTGTAATTATAAGTATGATGTGATTTTGTAATCGGTGAGAGTTATTTTTATTTTGTAGAAAAACCGAAAGATCATTAAGCACCAAAAAACCATTCTAAAACTTATTCAACATAAAATGGATCCATTTATGTAAGGCAGCACACACTGAAGTTCTTGAAACCCTTCATTAAGTAAGAAAATGCTCAAAATAATTTATGTAAAGTAAATCCAACACTGCTGCAATATTACATTTGGATACCTAACATATCAAAAAGGCAGCTCCTGATCCTCCATTCCCAGCTGATTTTTGCTGTGAGCATGCAGTATAATGTAGAAATGAAACTGATTTACCAAGAGAAGCCTACAACAAAATTGTCTTAGGGTATTTATGTCAGTAGTGCTTAAACTCACGATTACAAATGGGAAAATGCTAGTGAAGGATGTTTGCATGCACAATTTTATTTAACTTAGAATAAATAGTTCCTTGTTCAGTAACTGAAATTAATGCAGATTCTCATTGCAGACATCACAGAAGAAACTATCTTTTTAATTCTTTTATACCAGTTCCTCTATAATGCCCACTCCTGTGGCCAACTTTTCCCAACTACATCTCAAGTATCACTTCCTCCCACAAGTCAAAGATTCAGCTGCATTTTTATTTTTGTAAAAGGAAAGCTTCCCCCTCCCTTTTCCAAATCTCAAATGGATTCTGTCCAAATTTAATATGCCATGCAGAGGTTCTGTAGATCTCAAACTCTAATAGGCGTTAAAAGAGTTCATGTAAACTCAATAAAGGTCAGCATTACCACTACTTTGTGAGCAAGCCTATGGTATATGATTTGCCAATGGATTTCTATTACCAGCAGAGCTCTGAGACACCCATTAATTCTGTTTCTTAGCTCCTGAAGCAAGGGAATATTGTCTAACATGCCATCCAGCCACTCTCAACTGCTTCTCCCCTCCCTGCCTTTATGGTCTCCTCCCAGTCCCTGTCCTAGCTCTAATTCTGTATTTCTGCTCCCATCAGTCTCTGTCATCATGCCCAGCCAGTCTGACTCCTCTGCCTGGGTATTCCGACTAAAGGAGGGATTCAGCTTACTCAAAATTCAGCCATTTAAAATAGAAGTAACTCAACCTATACCAGCCATTTTCACAGTCAAGTGTTTGCCTCTTCCTACGACAGAGGTCCTTCCTTCCCACTTTAAGGTAAGCCTCTAGAGTAGATGGGTAAAATCACTTCCCAGAGGTCTATTTCTCCCTGGTACTCACACAGAAAAGCCTATGCTGCAAGTTTAGGTAAGACATCTTTTGCAAAGTTACATTTATACGAGTAGAATCTTATCCTAAGTTCCTATCTCCCAGCCCCATACTCCAGGTTCCTGCTTCAAGCTCCCGGTTTTGGTCTCTTATGGGGATTTCCTCTTTATTCTCTTTGTCTGTTCAATCCCAAATTCTCTTTATTTGCACCTTAACCAACTACTCACGTAACCTTAGTCTTTCACCCTTAGTCTCTCCACTTTCATATAACGTTATCAGTTCTCTCCATAGCTGTCACCCATCCTACTTCAAATCCGAGTCTACCACCTGCATCATGTCACATTTTTTCAGGAAGTTTCTGTCCTCACATAAGTCATGTTTATTCTCAATTCTTCTGTTCAAACTTCCAGTGTCCCTCAGTAACTGTACGTATCAAAGGCAGGATAAGACCTGCTCTGTTCTTCAACCCCTACAATGAAGCATATGAGTGCAAATGGGATGGTCAGTGAATTTAACATGCAAATCACAAGAAGTGTTTACTATGCCTTTTCAAAAGGCAAAGTTTCCTAAGATTTACCATTTCACCAAACTTACATGTTTTTTCATAGAAGAACATGGGCATCTCTGACATGGGAAAAGTGCTCTCCCAGATTTCAAGTACATACTTCAACATACAAAGGTGACAAAGCATCTTAGTGAAGTGGATGTGAAATGCACTTTTTTTGCACAGACAACGAGCATGTTTTTCCCATAATCTATTCATGGAAACAGCTAAAGATTTTAAACTACAGCTTTAAAAAAAAAAAAATCTCAGACAGAAAGCATGCTAAATTTCATCCCAAATATTTCAAATTTGGCACACAGTCACAAGCAACTGAAAACAAGGTCTTGAAATGGAAAATGTCAGGAAACCTTAACTGCAGATGGTGCTACCAGCTCTATATGCAATGTGTACGTAATCTTAATTTAGTATTTATAGGAAAACTGGTGGCTTAAAAGACTGCTAATGAGCAACTAGATCTTTCAACTCTAGGCTAGCAATTTTAATTCAAATCCGACAGATATGGTTCTTCCCAATGTATGGATGGCTATAAAGTTCAATTTCACTGATCACTAACTGAAAATACCATACCAAGTAGGATATATTCTGGCTAGCAGATTCACTGCAAGAAGCTGCCCAGAAAAAGGAGCCTGTTTGCTGGTACACGGAGTAAAATATGGTATCTCATATGGCCCTCAACAGGTTGAAACCTGCCACCTATGAAACTTTTACAGATTTCCACAGCTATAATTAAAGCAGGACATACCAGGACTAAAATATAGTGCCAGGCATCAGTATTAGACACATCATTTATCATGACAAGAAATGTATTCCGAAATCTGAAATTCAGTTCTTTAAACAGTCTGCATAAAGTTTAAATAATAGAATCGTTTAAAACATGGTAGCAACATGTGTGAAAGAAGTGCTGAAAGTTATGCCTCTAATAGTACATTGATGTTTGTAAGCATCCAGAAGTTTGCAGTGATAGCAGGTATTTTTTTCTCCACTTCCTAGCATAAAATAAAAAGAATGAGGATGTATACTATTACTACAAGTTATGAAACAAGATCTCTTCAGAGGACTTAAAAATCTCATTAAAGTTAAAACACAAGCTATACATGCAAACATTTTTTAAATGATCAATACAAATCTGTTTCAGTTTCCTGGGAAAAAACAGTTTCCTGCACATTAAAAAAAAAATCTTCAGGGTTTTATGCCTGTCCTTGCCACTTCTCTTTTGATTTTTTTATCTTAGTTGGAAACTTGCATAAGAGAATTCATGTTCTTATTAAAAGCTTCCCTCTATTTGGCTAACATAGGTCATATGTAATTATTAACCTATTGAAGGCTATTCATTTGCTTATTATACAACCTAAAATGCCATTTTTTATATGAAATATACTTTATAAATATTATATTGCATGAAGAAATAACAGATAAGATCATAATTTATCATACAAACATGGAAACTACCTCCTAAATCAAATTTAAACAAACAAAAAAACGAGCTAACAAAACAAATAACTGAAATTTTCAGATAAGGGAAAACACACACACTGAAAAAAACCCACCAAACCTGGTATCTATTATGAAATAATTCACTTCGCTACAGAAAAAGCATCTCCAGAAAAGCCTGTGTTGCTTTCTAAAAATTCACTACACAGCCTGCAAAAAAATGGTGTAAAAATGCAAGGTTTTAGTTCTTACTCACAAACTATTATTGCAATCCCATTGCCATACTGTTTCGATTTTGGATTGTTTGCCACATTGACTGGATGTTGAAGATGGCACACACAGCATCCATATCAACAACACACGGGTTTTCTTTGTAAGACTACAACTTCCTTTAAGACAAGCCTCATTCAGTTCTTTCTATACTTAAAATCACTTAATTGCCACCTGTCATTGAGTTTTGTATCTTGAAATTATTATCTTAGATATCCCAGAAATACATTCTGAAGATCTACTATAGTGTAAATGTAACAGAAGGGTTTTTTTTCTTTATCATCTTATCACATTTTATGCAACACTTAAAATACACAAGATAAAAACCACTTTCACAGAACAAGTGTTAATTTCCAGTATTAATTAATTCATCGTTTTCAACAGAAACCACACAAGGCACTGCAGAGAAGGTAAGAAAAACTGTATATAGAAAAAGAAAAGTTAGAACATAGGAAAGCCATTTATTAATCAGTTCCTTTAAGTATTACTTTAAAAAGTAATTAACTTCCAAGAAATGTCAACATAATTAGAGAATGAAGCACTGACAACACAGACCTACTTTCATCCACAGGAAACACTATTATTAAATGTGTAAATTAGGTGAGAAAAAGTAGGAAATATCATAAGTTTCAGGAAAGGCTGAAGAATGCAGTTTGCTGATGGACTCCTCACCTTTTCCTGCTGTCTTCTTACTACATAGCTCTTTTGAATTCCTTTCTGATTTCTTTGAGTTTTTCTTTTTACTCGCTTTCGCAATTGTAGTTGACACAGTGTCTTCATACTTTGATCCAGATTTTCCTTTTCTGTCAAAAAAGGCTTCAGATTTCTTTTCTCTGAATTCATTAATGCAATTGGGGCGGTCATTGTGTGTCTTCTTCAAGCTGGAGTCTGATAATTTTTGCTTCTGTGCTTCCACAATTTTTGTTTCTAAATCTTGGGGAACATTCATACTATGCACTTCTTCAGAATCCTTAAAATCAACTCCAGGTGACTGTGGTTTGATTTTTCTATGCAAGTAATTCTTGGAATTATCTGATACTGCATGTAGGCAATTGTCTTGTTCTTCAATAGATTGCTCCATTGAAAATTTATTACTTTTCAGGTTAGTATCCTTCAAGAACTTAGCATTTACAAAACACTCATTTCCTCCTACTGCTTCCCTTTTTAAAGGTCCTCCGATGTTCTTCGAATTCTGAGGTACTTCGGTGTTACTTAACTGATTATCACTCTCTCTGCCTTTTAACTGGCACTGGTTTTTGCCCACAACATGGCCAGATACTCCATCTTGACTAGTATCTTTTTTTAAAAAACCTAACGAATCAGTATAATGAGTGTCTTTATCTTCTCCAATACCCCTCTTCACTTTCATATTAATTTCCTGAGAATGAGCTAATGATGGTGTATGTTCCTCTCTCCCTTGCACAGGTTTATCATTCTGTACCTTGGAGCTTTCATCTTCTGCACGAAGGCCATTTATCATGCTTGTCACTTGTTCTGTTACTGAATCAGCTACACTGTAGCCAACTTCTCCAACAACACTGGTCAGATCATCCACAGCACTGCTAAGTGTGTCAACCAGAGAAGACACAGAAGGAAGGCTCAGATTTTGGTGGAAGTTTCTGAAAAACGCCATTGGTCCAATCTATTCAGCAACAACTTTTAATACAGAAAGGTCCTCCGTTTCACAAACTGATCAACTCCATTTCTCCAAGTTCAATTTCAGAGCTATTTGCTTTTGCTATCTCAAACTCAATACATTTACCAGGGGAAGTTGCAGCTTTGCTCTTTCCATTCAATATGCATTGAAAATAATAAGAAAGCAGTTAAGTAAATATCTTGAAATGAAGCCACAATCAACCAGGAAAACATAGTCTTTCATCAACTGCAGCATCAACTAGCCATAATAAAATGCATTATTTTCAAAACTAAGACAACTGTGTGAGGTGGAAACACTTTTTTTTATTCTAACCTGCAAAGAAGAAGTTGTGAGACATTTAAATTACAAACTTTCATTAATGTTGCACTAAAACAAGCTTTTACCATAATAGCTGAACAAAAACATGCATCATGGAGGCTTCTTCACCCCAAAATATTTGTTGTCTTTCACATAAGGTAAGATATTTCGGAAAATGAAGACTTGTTTTGTAGCAAAAAGAAAATTAAATGACAGACTTAATTTCCAGGTGCGAGAACTTTTTCTGTCTCCACGAATATTGAAAATAAAAATTTAGCTGCACCTTTTAAAGAGGCAGAGGGAAGAAAACCTCTCAAATTTTCCATTCTGTTCTCTGATGCCTGTCTCTTCCTCTCAAGTCAGCTAACAAGGCCCATTCAATTTCCACAGCCCAAAAGTAGAAAGGGGTTATTTTATAAGCCTCAGTATCTTTTTCAAGGCCTAATTTTTTTAATTTTACATTATCCTTAAAGACCTTGTTCTATTAAAAAAAAAAAAAGTATAGAAATAATTTGCTAGCCAGAGATCAGATGTCTTTAGTTTCTAATGTTTTACTTCTTTAAAATTCTTTTCCAGGTGACTAAATGCAAGACCTTCTCCAAAAGGTCAGTGAAAGATTTTAATAGGCTGAGTGAAAATCCAAGAATGCCATTCACAAATTTACTTGAGAAGATTTAATTATACACAATTACAGAACATTTAAAAAAAAACTTTCAAGAGTACTCTCATAGTGCAAGAGAAATAGCTTCCCACAAGTAAATGTCAACTCTTTGGTTATAGAACAGTTTCCGTGGCTTTTGAATACAAAGGTTTCTTCCTTTCCACATACTGCAGTCATGGGAAAAGTCAACACTGTGTGTTTTCACCACTTGAGTCAAGTGATTATTTGTGTATTTTTACGCATCCTTGTAAAAATGAGCATTCTTATAATTAAGTTTAGTATACTGTATTTCAGATACTTACAAAGTTTATCTTGTGAATTCTTTCTTGTAGTGTATCCTGAATCGAGATCTGGGAAACCACTAACATTTTCAAAACACATCTTCTTATTAATATACAGGAAAAGTAGCAACATGAGAATAATGAACACCCCGACAGCAGAGAGGAATCCAATTGCTTCAGGAGATACTAAAAGAAACAGAAAGAAACACATTTTTAGAAGTCTTGTAAGAGTTTAACTCATAAAAGTTATACTTATCAGAACTGATCATTAATAAACACTACTAAAGTTCCAAACACATAAGCAAGACATAACTGAAAAGCCACCATTTAAATTTGAGTTAATCTTTAACACTGTTAAATTTCATCAGTTTCTTCAGTTCCAATCACCTCTTCAAAGAACAGAAAAGTATTGGTCCTAATCTAAGGGAGGACTGATATTGTGAGCAACAAGTTCTGCTGGAGTACTGGACCCCATAACAAGACAGGGTCTCTGCAGAAAATGGGGAGATGATCAGCGGATGCTAAGGCTAATGATTTTTGATAGAACATCTGAAAGCGAGCACTGGAAAGGAGCTAAGATCATCCCCCTCTTCCTGGAAGGGGCTGGAGGTTTGGCAACCTGGACTCAGGGCCAACTCTGAGACAGTGCTGCTAGGGAGGGACTGAGCCCTTGCTGGTGAGGCCTTTGCCTCTGCCTGCCTTTTTACAGTCAGCTCCTGGCTCCTCTTCCCTTAAGGACCTGCTGTCCCTTGCTGCTCCCTGACAAGTAGTATACTGTGTGAGCAAAAAACAGGATGATAAAAAGCACATAAAGGTATGTTCCTTGCCCAGGTATCTGCGCCACTTGCGTATAAACCAAGAAAGAGCTAAGTGGAGTAGAAATAAAGCACACTTAATCAAAACCAGGTCGAGGAAAAAAGGCTGAAGTAGACTGATGTCTCAGAAAGTGTTTAAAATTAAGAATACGTAATTGATATTAAGCAGACAACAGAAAGGCAGTCTTGGGCAACTTTTGCAGGGGTAAAATCTTGCAAATCCATCAGTCTCTAAGTAACAACATCAGTAATGCTGTTTAGGACCAAGATTACCTAGGAAATGGTTTTAGAAAGACGAAATTGGGGAATGGATGTAGCAAATTGGACCAATGGGGAAAGAGCATTTAAGGGGCAGCTTGTTTATCTGAAAGGAGATTAGGCAGAGAAAGGGATATAGAAGGGTCTAGAAACGTGAAAAATAATGAACAGGTTGTAAAGGCAGTTCAAGAACAAGAGAGGGCAGATCTTTTGACAGGAGGAGTGCAGATGCCCACAGATGATAACAAAGCTGACCTGTTTCATTAACCAAGGCTGTCAGAATATCAGAAGAAAGCCCCATGGGCAATCCACTGGACTCTCCACTGGGTCTACATCTGAAAGACTTGATGGAAGAAGTTAAAGGGTGACAGAATTGCAAATTTGTTACTAAGTGATGTGGGAGGTTAAAGTGAAGGGTTATAGAACTGTAATTCAATAATATTTGGCTGCAATTTATAAAAACAAAGTGATAGAACTGTAACTCAATAATCATGTGCAATTAGCAATAGTGTAAAGAGGGACAAAATTTGTCAGGCACGATTTGCCTTTAGTGAAGCCATGTTGGCTGTCACCGATCACCTCATTATTTTCCATGTGCCTTAGTATAATTTCCAGGAGGATCTGCTCCATAATCTTGCTGGGCACAGAGATGAGACTGACTGACCTGGAGTTCCCCAGGTCTTCCTTTCTTCCCTTTTTGAAAACAGGGGTTATGCTTCCCCTTTTCCGGCCGGTGGGAATTTCACCAGACTGCCACAGCTTCTTAAAAATGATGGACAGTGGCTTAGGAACTTCATCCACCAGCTCCCTCAAGACCCGCAGATGTATCTGACCGGGTCCCATGGATGTGCACACCTTCAGGTTCCTCAGCTTGTCTCAAACATGTTCTTTTCCTACAGTTGGTGGTATTTCATTCTCCCGGTCCCTAATGTTGCCTTCTGCGACTTAGTGGTGTGGCTACAGCACTTGGCAGTGAAGAGAGAGGCAAAAAAGTCACTGAGTACCTCAGCCTTCTCCATATCCCAGGTAACCACGTCTCCTGTTTCCTTCTGGAGAAGGCCCACATTTTCCCTAGTCTTCCTTTTATCAGTGATGTACCTGTAGAAGCTTTTCTTGTTGCCCTGGACGTCCCTGGCTAGATTTAACTCCATCTGGGCTTTAGCTTTCCTAACCTGATCCCTGGCTGCTTTGACAATTTCTCTGTATTCCTCCCAGGCTACCTGTCCTTACTTCCACCCTCTGTTTGAGTTTGTCCAGGAGCTCCTTGCTCATCCATGCAGGCCTCCTGGCATTTTTGCCTGACTTCCTCTTTGTTGGGATGCATCGCTCCTGAGCTTGGAGGAGGTGATCCTTGAATGTTAAACAGCATTCCCTCCAGGGCTTTATCCCATGGTAGTCTGCTAAGCAGATCCCTGAAAAGGCCAAAGTCTGCTCTCCTGTGAGCTTACTGTGCACCGTCCTCACTGCCTTTAAGGATCTTGAACTCCACCATTTCATGGCCACTGCAGCCAAGGCTGCCCTTGAGCTTCACATTGCCCACCAGCCCCTCCTTGTTGATGAGAACAAGGTCCAGCATAGCACCTCTCCTCGTTAGTTTTTCTAGCACTTGAAAAAGGAACCTCCTGGATTGCTTATGCCCTGCTGTGTCATCCCTCCAATAGTGGCTGAAGTGCCCCATGAGGACCAGGGCGTGTGAACATGAGGCTGCTCCTATCTGTTTATAAAGGGCCTCATCTGCTCAGTTTTCCTGGTCAGGTGGCTTCTAGCAGACCCCCCCCACACACACTGTAATGTCACCTGTCCCTGTCCTCCCTTTAATCCTGACGTATAAGCTCTCCATTGACTCTTCATCCATGCCCAGGTGGAGCTCCATGCACTCCATCTGGTCACTGACACAGAGGGAGACACCCCTTCCTCATCTCCCCCACCTGTCCTTCCTGAAGAGTCTGTATCCTTCCATTCCAACACTGCAGTCGTAGGAGCCATCCTACCACGTCTCCAAGATGCCAAGAAGATCACAGCTCTGCAGGCGTGCACACATCTGTAACTCCTCTTGTTTATTCCCCATGCTACGTGCATTTCCATAGAGGCATTTAAGTTGGGCCCCAATGAAACTGACTTACTGGCTAGAGCAACTGGAATTCCTTCATGCTGCACTCCAGGTGCTCTCCTGCTTATCTGTGATCTTTCTCCAGGCTCTGGGCTCATCCCTCCAATAGTGGCTGAAGTGCCCCATGAGGACCAGGGCGTGTGAACATGAGGCTGCTCCTATCTGTTTATAAAGGGCCTCATCTGCTCAGTTTTCCTGGTCAGGTGGCTTCTAGCAGACCCCCCCCACACACACTGTAATGTCACCTGTCCCTGTCCTCCCTTTAATCCTGACGTATAAGCTCTCCATTGACTCTTCATCCCTGCCCAGGTGGAGCTCCATGCACTCCATCTGGTCACTGACACAGAGGGAGACACCCCTTCCTCATCTCCCCCACCTGTCCTTCCTGAAGAGTCTGTATCCTTCCATTCCAACACTGCAGTCGTAGGAGCCATCCTACCACGCCTCCAAGATGCCAAGAAGATCACAGCTCTGCAGGCGTGCACACATCTGTAACTCCTCTTGTTTATTCCCCATGCTACGTGCATTTCCATAGAGGCATTTAAGTTGGGCCCCAATGAAACTGACTTACTGGCTAGAGCAACTGGAATTCCTTCATGCTGCACTCCAGGTGCTCTCCTGCTTATCTGTGATCTTTCTCCAGGCTCTGGGCGTCTATTGCTGGCACTGGCATCAAACTGGTAGGAGTGGGATGGATTGAGATTCCTCTCTACCCAGCAACTTGAGTTTAAAGCCCTCTTTACCAGCTGAACAAACCTATGACTGAAGATGGTCTTCCCCTTCTCTTACAGATGGACCCCATCAGCCCCCAGAAAACCTTGTTTTTCAAAGAGAGTCACATGGTCTAAGTAGCAGAACCCCTGGCTGGGGCACCAGTCCTGTAACTATACATTGACTCGACAGATTCAATTGGCCCTTTCAAATCCCCTTCCTTTGACTGGGAGGACTGATGAAAAAACTACCAGTGTTCCACCATCCTTTACCGCCACTCCCAGGGCTCTGTAGTTCTTCCTGATACTACTCAGACTGCTCCTGGTGGTATCACTGGTGCCCACATGAAACAACAGCAGCGGATAACAGTCAGTGGACCATACGATAGTGTGTTGGTGACATCCCTGATAGGGGACCTTGGTCAGCAGCACAGTAAGACAGCATGTCATGTTGGCAAATGGGCACCTCTGTGCCTTTCAGAAGAGAGTCACCTACTACTATCACACATTGTTTTCTTAGGTGCACTGGTTGTTATATGGGGAGCAGATTGGGTTGCATTACTCAGCTCCAGCATCTCTGCTGATGTGACTGGTCTTTCCTCTTCAGTCTGCAGAGCGGTGAAGCGGTTCTGCAAGGGCACCTCAAGCTTCAGGGAAAGTCGCTTCCATTCTTCTGCATTACTGGCCCCCCTCTCTTCTGTGTCTGCCAGTGAGGGAGTTTTGGTTGGTTGGCTGTGGGTCCACTGCAGACTTCAGTGCTTTTGGCTGGTTGGCTGTGGGTCCACTGCAGCAACCTGCTGCAGGAGATCCTCCACCTGGGCACACCTTTTGCAGGCAGGTGCACCGCCTATCCCTGCCCCAGGAGAAAGGTCAAGGCACCTCCTGCAGTCTGAGGTCTGCACTACAGGCTCTCCCTTCAGCACCTCCGTCTGGGTGGTGACATCAGCCACGCTGGGGTAGATGGTACTGCCAAGGAGCCCTCTAAATTAAATTATTCTCTGAGTTTACACATGCCCTTTGTAAATCTAGGCTTATTTATGTAAAAGTGCTGACTGAGAAACACACACAGTTCCACAACCCCCTCAGTTTGCTTTGGTGGTATTATTTCTGGGATGATAGCAAATGGTTGTGTTTGTGGTGTTGTTCCTCAATAATTATAGAGCTGTGTTTTAAAAACCCAAAAGAAGATCAAAAGAAATGCACCTTCCACCATCTAAAAAGAATTTTCAGATTTGCACTTCTATTTTGAGCTGGACATCCAGACCTATCTGAAATTGTGGAAATT